CCTCCCGGGTTCCCGGGTTCAAGCAATTCTCCTCCCTCAGCCTCCCGAGTAGCTGGGATTACAGGCACGTGCCACCACGCCTGTAATTTTTGTATTTTTTTAGTAGAGACGGAATTTCACCACGTTGACCAGGCTGATCTTAAACTGGCTGGTCTCAAACTCCTGACCTCATGATCCACCCACCTCGGCCTCCCAGAGTGCTGGGATTACAGGCATGAGCCACCATTCCCAGCCATCCTCTGGTTCTTATAAAGTCAGGAGCACAGAATCAAATGAATCAGGGCTCCTGGTCATCATCTTCACGCTGGTCTCTGAAGCACTACTGCTCCTTCATTAAGCACCATTCACTCTGTCATCCACTCACTCATTTGTCCGTCTTTCTTATTTTGGGTATTTGTTTTCCTTATTAATTGTGTTAATTAAAACCCCACGGGCAAAACAAACATCTTTGGCCCATGTATTTATTTGCAATCTTTCTTCCCCGCATTTAGTCACCTTTTATGTTTAAGTATTTATTCTTTTATTTATGAACCTCAATTGCATCTATTTTATTACAGTGGCAGAAGATACAGCCTTGTTTTGGAGCCAGGTATGTCTCTCTATTTTTCATTTATTCTTTGAAAGGTGTAATGTATTTATCTATTTAAGGAGTACGTATGTAAACTAATTATAATCCCTGTTCAGACAACCTCCCTTAACTATCCATTTATCACTTTGGTTGTTTGTTTATTACCTTTCCTTTTTCCTTTTTCACTTCTTTTCATATTTTCTCCAGTTTCCCTCCCCCGGGAACCTGGGCCTGGATTATCTCATCCATCTTCAGGATTACCGACAGCCTTATGACTAATCCGAACAGATCCTGCTCTTACAGATACACCCACATATTCGTTCTCTTTTTTATTGGTTTTTCTTTATTTTCCCTTTCGCTTTCATTTAGTTTCATTTTTGCCTTTCCTTATCTCTATCTTTGACTCCCTGACACTTCTCTTCTTGCCTCTTTTCACGCTTATGGGCCCCAGGTGCCCAGAGTGAGATGAATGAGAATCCCATGGGCATCTCCTTCCTGGCTGTGCCAGGCATTTCCATTTCTAATTCAGTCGTTCATGTGTCCATTCATTCTTTCTGTCATTCTTTCATTTCAATATTTGTTCTTTTATTTATGGACCTCAGGTGCACAGAATTGGATTAACCATAATCTGCGGTTCCCGGAGCCTTCTGCACACCGGTCCGCGTGGGGCTGTCTTTTGTTCGTTAATTCCTCTCCCTGAGGATTTGGTGCAGGATTTATTTAACTATCTTAGGAACCCAGTTTTGAATTAGTCATAATTCTTGCTGCCTTCTCTCCTGTTTTTGTCCTTGCACGGTCCACTCTCCCACATATTTATGTCTTTATTTATTCATTCAATATGTTTGTATTGCTTATACACATCCTGTCATACGTTTCCATATTCTCTCCTCTCTTGGTTTCTCTTTTCATTCTTTTGAGCCTTGAGTGCAGAGGATAGGGAAAATCATCCATTCTCATTCATTCAGACAGTCACTCCTCTATTCAGGTATTTGTGCTTTTATTGATTAACCTCAATGTTTACTATTTATTATATTTAATGGATAAAATTGTCTCATTATATTTCAGTGCTTGTCCAGGAAGTGCCTTTTCGTTCATATGCCTACTTCAGTTTTTTCTTTTCTTACATCTCTCCCTCTCTCATTCTTTCAATTTTTCCATTCCCTGCTCCTTTTCTTGCATTCCTATGGAATGCATGCATCTATTCTTTCATTCAGTCTTTCACTTGTGGTAATTTTTAAAACAAACTTCAGAGCCACAGATCTGAATTAATGTGGATGGCTTGTGCTAAACCAGCCCCCTTTGATCAACTTGTTCCATCTACTTATTTATTATCTCTTTCATTTCCTTTTATTCCATTTTCATTTTTTCCCATCCTATTGTTTCTTTCCACCACTCCCTCTTTCTTTCTGTCATTCTTTTGGAGAGCTGCACCCAGGATCAATGACCCCCACCCTTGTCTACAACGCCCTCCTCATCGGTCAATGCGAATCTTTTCTGTCATTCATTCATTCACGCATTCGCCATGCATCCATTCAGTCTTTCTTTCTATGTAAATACTTATTTTTACACTTCTAGACGGCAGATGCATCTAACTGGATACATCATAATCTGCAACTAATGGGCCCTCTCTCTGTGGCCCCACTCCTCCCTCCCATGTGTATGCTTTGAGCCGTTCCTTAGCTGAGTAGGTGGCAGACTATACCAGCAGCAACAATGCCAATTAAGTGGCCTGCTTGGTTCACACTGCCTTTCATTCCTGTTCTAGCATGGCTCTGTCTTAAATCTGCATGCATGTATTTATTTCTTAATATGTTACCTCTCTCTTCCTTTCTCCCTTTTCACATTTCTTCCCGTTTTCTATTGTGTGTCTCTCTCTCACTCTCTCACTCGTTCTCTCTTGCACTCTGTCTTCGGAGCTCAGTGCCATGGAGTGGCTGTACACATCATAAAGCCACCCGCAAACGCCCATCCTTGGCCGTGCTGTTCCATGTCTCACTCATTCCTTCCTTCCTGCATTCATAGCATCCTTCTTTCCTGCTTTCTCTCTTTCTGTTTGACATTTATTCCTCTATTAGTAGAATCAGGTGCCCTTATGACAAGTCCTAGCCTAACTCTTCTCGTGGATTTACCCATTTATCCGTTTGGCTGTTATTTCTTTTTACTGTTCCTTTCTCTCTTCTGTCACAGCTTTCCATACCTCCTGTCCTTCATTCTCATGCAGCTGGGGTGCCCAGGGGGGACCCCAACACCCTCATCAGGAGGACCCATGGGGCCACGTCTTCTCATTTGCCTCATCCTTGTCTGTTTAGATATTCACTGACTTGTTCACTTAGACGTTTATTATTTAATGGATAGCCTGTGGTTTTCTAGAAGTGGACCAGCCATAGCCCTTAATTGTGATGATCTTTTGCCACCACCTATCACACTGCCTTCTTTTACATCTTTATTTATCACCCATTAATGTATTTCTGTACTTAACATTTGTTACATTTTTTCCTATTTCTTTATTTATCAACACTATCTTTCTCATATCCTTTCATCTAACAGACCTCAGTGCCCAGGACTGGATGACTCAAAACCCCTCACGACACCGTGTCGCCTGGCACTGCATTCTCACTGCTCATTCGTTCATCCACACATGCAATATAGACTTTTTGGCTTTTTTCTTTCTTTTGTCATTGATTTATTTCTGTGCAGACTTCAAGTGCTCAGGCTTAGATAACTTTTGGTAAAAGTACGCTCTCATATTTCGCCCACTGGATCCTCTTTCTTTCTTTGCTATTCTTTGAACTCTTTCTCTGTGGTTTCTTTATTTTTCTACGCCAGGAGCATATTCTATTTGTATTAGTCCTAATGTTTAGCTTACAATAGCCTGACATGGTCCTCCTTATAGAGTTACTCATCCTCTAGTTTTGTTTTGGTTTTTTTTTTTTAACTTTCTATCTTTTATTTGTTGTTTTGGTTTTTTTTAAAAATCCTTCCCTTCTCCCTTTTGATCACTTGTTCCCTAACTTGCATCCTTTCATTTTGACAGGCCTCCAAATCTATGTGTCATTCTGCACTTCACTACTCAAGCATCCATTCTTTCTTTTATTTAGGTTCTTTTTTCATTGTCAAATGTCAGAGGCATATATTTGAATTACACATATCCCTTAGTCCGTAATCACCTGATATTGCTTTGTGTGTTGCCCTATCACTTAGTGATTCAACGGGTTTTTTCTGTTTATATATTGATTGCCCAGGCATCAAAGTGGATGAACCATGGTCTTGGGTACACACACTCTCCTCCTGGCTTGCTTACTTCTTTACCTATTTACTTGTTTATCCATTCCCTCTTCTTCACTCATTCATTCATCCAGTCATTTACTACGTAATGCAATAGATACCAGTGAAACCACCTCTCGACAACAACAACAAAACCCAGAACATTCACAGTCTCTTTGGCATTCCTGCTGCTTCTCACTGAGTCACCCACCGAGGTACACACAGCCCACAGTCCGGAAACACACACCAATGGCGGATGCAGAGCTGAGACACAGTGAATGTTAAGTTTACTCCCAGATCCTTCTGGGGCTCACGTCCTAGACAAACTGGGGGCAGATCTGAGATGAGGGCCCACATTCCCCAGGCCCCCTGGGCAGGGCAAGCACCCCCCGTTCTGCCCCTCTGGACCGTGGTGAATGACCATCCCCATGAGAAACCTGTTTCAAGACCCCAGAATACATAGAGACACACACATGGTACATAGTCTCCTGGTGGGAAACGACGGACATGGAGTTCATTTTTAAATAGGTGGCTTTGTCTGTGGCAATATAAAAATATTTTGGCCTTTCAAGGCAAATACAAAAGAAACTACCCATTACCATGGCTGAGTGTCTCAGTCCCAAACAATAAAGAACTTGAAGAGGTTTAGCCGGAAACTTTGAAGACAGAAAATCTGCCCATTATGTTTTCCAGACATTTCGAGGGGGTGAGCGGAGGTCATTGGAGCTCGAAGCCCATTTGGAAGGCTGGTCCCTCGGCCTGCGTTTTCTCCTTGGCCCTTTGAAGGCCCCCCAGCTCACAGGGCACTTCCATCCTAGTCTGCCCTGCGGCACAAGAGCCAAAGGGAGACTCAATAATGAAAGAGCCATTCATTTAGAAGAGTGAAAAAGAAGAAATTCTTTTGGGGTCCGACATTTGAAGCCGCCTATAGAATTCCTTTGCCACAGAGACAACACAAGGAGGCTGGGGGTTCCTGTCTTAGAAAACAGGAGCCCCCAGGTCTGCACTTGGCTTGACTCGATGGGCACCCACCTCCCCGTGCACAGACCCCCCGGCCAGCGCCCACCAGCCCCTCCACGCAGTCCGCCTAGCAGTGTGCTGCAGAAGGCAGGCCCCACCCTCAGCAGCAAGGCCACGTGTGTATGCTCTTTACGCTCCAGCCACTTACGATTTCGAGCTGGAGGGGGGCTGGGGTCCCACATCCGATGTCCGTTCCCACGTAGGAATCCAGGTGATGGCTTCGGCTGTAAGGAGAAGGCATTAGGTCACAGAGTGGAACCTCACTCAGGCTGGCGAGGAGGAAGAGGGTGGATAAGGATAACAGCTCGGGGTGGGGGGGGCAGGGGTGGCCTGGAGCAGGGACTCCCCAACCTCCAGCAAGTGTGGAATTGGAGAGGCCATGCATTTCTCTCCTCACTCCCCTTGCCCACCAGCTGCCTATGGAGCAGAAGGGGCAGGAGTGGAAGTATGGAACAGACTTGGGTTGGTGCCATCCATGGACCTAAGTTGTGCTCTGTGGGACCCAAAGGCTTAGGGCACTGCATAGATGAGAAAGGGGAGTGACCCAGGCCCTGAAAACAGGGCATGAACCTGTGCTCTGGAAGAAGCAAGGTGCCCAGGTTGGTTAGCAGGATGGCAGGCCCTGGAGGAGACCAGAGAAGCGGGATATAGACCAGAGAAGCGGGGGCAACCCACAGAGGGCTGCAGGGCTATTAACGGGCAGGGTTTCCCAAAATCATGGCACACACGTCGTATGCTTGGACAGACAACTCCACTGCGGCAATTTTGTTCACATTGCGGTAGGTACTGGGAAACACCATGGCCAGGCACATTGAGTCTTCAGTGTCAAGATTTGCCTTACGTTTTAACTTGTTTTTTTTGTTTGTTTGTTTTTTCTTTTTTAATCGGGCAGCAGGCTGGGCCAAACATGGTTCAGAATACTCCCAAACTTTTAAGCTTCAAGAAAAGCTGACTTCAGCAATGTCAGACACGTATCATGACACATTTGTCCAGACCCACAGGATGTGCGCCAGAGTGAGCCCTAATGATGCGAACCAAGGCCTTTAGTTAATCATGTATCAGAGCTGTTCCATCGATTGGAACAAACAGACCGCACCACACGGAGGCAACGCGTGAGTGAGAGGCGAGATGGTGGGGACAGGGTCTGCGAATTCTCTCTACTTTCCCACCAATGTTTCTGTAAACTGAAAACTACACAGAAAAAAAAAAAAAAACAGTTTATTCATTTAAAAAATGTGTTGAATGAATAGCTTTTAAAATCTGTTCACAGAGTCTACTTAAGGTGAGGAGGTGTCATAGAAAGGTAGCCTGAGATGGCTGAGATCCCACCAGCGCAGCAAGCTGGGTGATGGGGCAGCCAGGGGTTGAGCCAGGAGGAGGACAGGGCCAAGGTCTGTTTGAAAACACCCTCTATAGGGACTGTTTCCTGGGTTAGGCACAGGTGGAGATAGGAAGCCAGGGGGAGACCATGGGACGCCACCACAAAGCCACCCAGGAAACAGAAAGGCCATGAGAGGGATGTGGGGAAACTGGGGAAGGCAGAAACCACAGACCACAGGTCCCAGCCCCAGGGGGGTGGCTCATGCCTGTCATCCGAGCGCTTTGGGAGGTCAAGGCGGGTGGATCACCTGAAGTCAGGAGTTCGAGATCAGCCTGACCAACATGGTGAAACCCCATCTCTACTAAAAACTAGCTGGGTGTGGTGGTGCGTGCCTGTAGTCTCAGCTACTCGGGAGGCTGAGACAGGAGAATCGCTTGAACGCAGGAGGCGAAGGTTACAGTGAGGCAAGATTGCGCCACTACCCTCTAGCCTAGATGACAGAGCACGACTCTGTCTCAAAACAAACAAACAAATAAACGGTTTCGGGAGATACCTGACCCCAGCTGCCTGCCCCACTGCAGGTCTTTAGGGACTCCCAAGACCACCTGCCCCCGGGCCTCTCAGCGATCTTTCCAACCCACTCCTGCCATCTGGGCCACCCCTGCTGCCTCTGCCTCTCTATTCCCAGTCAGTCATGTCACCAGCCAGGATGTCCAAGACCCAGCCAGGGCAATGGGGACACTTCTTGCCTCCAAATCCTCCTAAACTCTACTTCCCTGGCCTTGCCCTTCATAAACCCTGTTTTGCCATAACTGGTTAATTTGATAACCAAGAAACAAGAAGTCTTAAAATAAGTGTTAGGGAAGCAGCGATCAGTGCATGGGTGACTGAGGGGCAGGCTTCGGTGACCTAAAGGCTGCCAGACCACCCATTATCTACTGACCACCACTCGAGACCGTTTCCCACCCTCCCTCTGAGACTGCGCGTGGCTGGGGTGGCCTCTCACCATCACCACGTCTTAAGGTGGCAACGAGACTCAGGCCAAGAACACACAGCAAGACCAAAGGCACTGCCATTTCCCGCAGGAATCAGAGCCCAGCGCTTTGTTTGGCTGTTTTTGCTTTGTTCTTTTTTGTGTTTTTAATAGGAGCGGGGAAATCAGAAGCAGGAAGGAGCATCTGGGTTTTTTCCAGCTTCTGCTCCAGGGACCCCATGAACCCTCAGAGTCCCTGACTGTCCTTAATTAACTCTGTGTGCAGACCCCGGGCTTCTCTGCTACAGTGAAGTCCCGACAAATTCGTGCCTTGGTTTAAAAGCTGCGTGTGCCAGCTCTGGGCTTGCCGTGATGTGTTAATAACGCAGTGCTGGGCTAGAATCTTAACAAATGTCAGAAAAGCTGCAGAGATGAGTCACTGTCTGGAACCAAAGAAAAACACGAGGCCTCCTTATAGAGTCCAGGAGTAATTGCCACAAGCATTTGATCAAAGACCTCATAAGTGCGTGCAGTGAGCTCATGACCCACGCAGAAAGCGTTGGTGAACACTCCAAAACCATCCTCCACAGCTTAACGGGTTAGAAAACTCCAGTTCTGCATCTTAGGATTTTAAAAGTTACTCTTTTCTGAAGGCAAACAGCACCTAATTGATCTGGCATGTCTTTGTTATAAATAACTTATGGCTGTTTCAAACAGAAAAAGACCTAAAAGGATGATTTTTATTAAAATGTTGATCTCAAGAAATAGAGCCTGTCGTTAACAAATAATCAGTCTTGCCTCAGATCTCATAATTCCTACCTGTTGAGTAAATACCACCTCCTTACAACTTCCCCGGACAAATGCAAGCCCTTCGCAGAGCTAATTTCCTGTACCTTTGTGAGGCTGGGGCCCCGGACATTACGGACCCATTTATAAAAACAGGAGAGGTAATTGGAACATCTTTTGAAAGCATGTCCCCTCTCTCTCTTGCAGGCCCCCATCAGCCCTCTAATTTTACTTGGTCAGGTTACAGAGGATGTTTACATATGCCTCTTCCTGGAATTTCACCTCTTTGCTTCAGGAGTGGGCAATTAGAGAGAATTAGGGCCTCTTTGGTGCCTGTTTACCGTTAATGGCTGGAGTGGCGGAGGCAGCCTTGGGAAAGCAGTCTGCCCGTCTAATTGAAGCTGGCAATTTTTCGATTCCTCATTTCAGCTCGCAGGTATTGTAGCAACCAAGGTCACAAAACAAAAGCTGCAGCCCACCATGGTAATAACCAGGTGCAGGCCCGACCCGAGGTTTTGTGAGCTGTTCATTACCACACACGGCAGCACAAAGAGATAGCTGGAAATGTTTGCAAAGCTGAGTCTAAGATGCGCAGCCAGTGCAGGCGGGTGATGAACACTTTTCCAGAAGTTGTCATCCTGTTGGCTTTTTCAGGAAGTTCTCAGCTGACTGGGCCATAGCGCCAACAGAGGCGTTGGCGAGGGTCTCAGGACCCAAAAGGCACAAGGTGAGCCACGGGGGTGGGGGGAACGAACATCTCCTGCTTCTGAAGCCACAAGTCCAGTCTCATTACACAAGAGTCACTCTACAGACCAAAAAGGTGTTCCAGACCAGCCCAGTAGCCTTCCTGTTTGGAATAATACCCCATAAAACAGGATCCCTGCACCCCAGCTCATGCGGCAGCCCCTGGGAACCTTCTTCAGGCTCTGACTCACACTAATGACCGGTGACTGTGACCCCCTGACCACACAGGTCACGCAGGAGCTGGCAACTGGCAGGGGTTTCACCTCCAGGGCCTGCTGCCAGCTCACTGTGCAACCTTGGGCAAGGCTCTGGGCCTCTGGGATCTCTGGTTTCCCCATCTCTAAAGCAGAGGGGGCAGTGGACCAGTGACCCCCAAAGTCCCAACAACTCCAAAGACCCAGCAAACAAACCACAAATGACCTCCAGGGAGGCCCGAAGAAACCCCGAGACTGCAGGAGCGCCAAGGCCACTTGGACGACCACGGGTCTGTACTCGCCCATTTTGTAGATGGGAAAACTGAGGCCTAGGGGACTGGAGACAGAGGCCAAGGTCACACCCACAGTCAGGGCTGAGCACAGGCTGTAACCAGGTGTCTGGAAGACTGCTCCCGAGTTGCGGGAGAGAGCTGAGAACTCTCTCCTCTGTCCACCTGGCAAGTCCCGAGTAGCGACAGTGTGACCAGCCAGGAGGTGAGTGGAGACCCACTCTGGTGAAACAGGGGCCTTGCTTTCCAGCACTGACCTCCCAGGCTCCTTCTGACTTGGAGAATATGGAGAACTGACAGGCTAGTACCCAGTTTAACAAATGAGGCTCGGAAGCCAGCAGCAGCAAAGTCAGTGACCAGCCAAGACCGAGACCGGGCCCCACTCCTGTCATGGCAGGGACTTTGCCCCTGGTGCCTCCGGAGTGGCCTCACCCTTACGGCAGTCTGGGGCAGTGGGGGTGCAAACAGTTTCGCTCTAACCCAAAGGGTCCCCTCTCTCGCAGCTGCCCACCAACCCTGTGGGCCGTGATGACCCCCTCCTCTCCTCCCTAACCATGAAACAGCAGCCCTGTGGATTTCTGAGCCCCCTACCCCCAACTTCCTGAGTACAGAATCATTCTGTGTCCACTCCCAGGAGGGTCCAGAGTAAGGGCTGGAGTGGCAGAAGGAACAGCCCAGCTGTGAGCGAGGAGGCTGGAGCAGACACGCGGTCAACCTTTGGCCCCCAACTGTCCTCCTTCCCCAACTTTCCATCCCGGACCTCTCTCCCCGCAGCCCCATTCTGTCTCTTTGGCTATATGTCGGGCATCAGGCCCCAGTTGATCAAATTTTTGTTTACAGGCACAACCACTCTGATCCCCCTTTGCTAAGAAACTTTCAAAAGCAATCCCTAGAATCTGAGCGCGTGAGCATCCCAGGGTCGCGCGAACCCGGTGGCTGGTTAAGTGCATCATTGTGCAGCCTTGGAGCTCCTGACACACACACAAGGGCAAGGGGCCCCACGCAAGCCCTGGGAGGGAACACACACACACTCCGTTTCAGGGGAAGGTAATTGACGTTTTCTTCTTTTCATCTGAAGAAAAGGCACCTTCCATTGAAAAGGCGCATTCACAGGACCTGGGAAAACTCATCTACGCTCAGCCCTCCCAAGGATCCCCAGGTGGCTGTTCCCCACGGGGGGCTCCCCCACATTCCTCTCGGCCCGAGCCTTTGTTTCCATCTGAAACGGCCCTGGGAGCTCCCAGGCTAAGAGTCTCCTCCTTAAGCCCCTGCCAAAGACCCTATTCACTGCTCAGAGTAGAGGCAAGCCGAAGGTGGTGGGCAGCCTTCCTTTCTCCCAGGGCAGGGGACTTAAGAACTCTCCATCTGGATTTATTTTTAAGCTCAAAGAAATTGGAGAGCAATTAAGAAAGTCATGGCTACACCCTCCACCACCATCCTCTCCCTTAATGAACTCCTCTCTCACACACAGTCCCTCATGTCGGGAGGCCCACGGTGGCCCCAGCAACCCAGCACCTGCTCTGTACACGGGCCGCCCACGATCGCCAGGGGCTCGGGGGTGACAGGAGCTGAGAGGACAGACAGAGATATGTCCCAAGTCCTCATCACAGTTGGTCCTGAGTAAAGTGACCACAGTTTTCCACGGTGAGGATTGGGGCCCAGCCCCTGGCCTCAGGACCTGACTCAAACCCAGAAGGGCCTAGGAATTCCAGATCTACGGGCGTCTCAGGCACCAGAGCTCGTCTTGGCACAGATAAGGGGTCTCTCCACGTCCACTGGGTCTGGCTGGAGCTGGGACCCCTGTTCTGGCAATGTGCCGTCCTGCTGCGGTGCCTGCAGGGCCCCTGGGAGGGAAGGTGGGAGGGGAGGGGCCCTCTGCACTCCCACCGTTCCTGGCTCTGAAACACTGACCCGTCCATGCCCAGGAGGCAAGCCTGTTCTGTGGCTCCTCTTTCCTTAGCCTCCCCCAAGAAGCTGTGGGCAGCCCAGGTGTGGGACCACCCTTTCTGAATGGGCTCCATACAAGACCCTCTCCTACCGCAGACTCATCCTTCTCCCTTCCAGACCAGGAACCCCACACTTGAGAGGCCTCGTTTCGAAAGGTACACCTCTTTTCTAGACGTTTCCATCCGCTCAAATCGGGGATGGGAGACCAGGCTAGACTTCCTTATTCCTCCTTGGGAAGAGGGGACAGGGCTCAGAGAAACAGCCGGGAGGGGGAACCAGTCCTAGGGGACAATTCACAACTTATTAATTCCAGTCTCCTAAAAAGAAGCCGCTCCCAGCAACCCAGGGCTCTTCCACTGCAGCTCACAATGCTGGCTTCCACATTGTCCACTGCCCTTTAACCCTTTGGGACCTGAATCTGTCTCCTTCCACACCCGCTTCTGTGGAAAGCTCCCTTCTTCTTTGCAAGGAATAATTCATTAGCAAGCTCATTAAAGATGGGTAGATATTCCTTTTCATTCTTTCTGGAAGTCAGATTGCTCATAAAAAACACATTTAAGTTATTTCATGTAAATGAAAGAATAAGAAACACATGCATCCTGTTGCCCTTAAGTCTTGCCAGGTTTTGACATTATTTGGAGAAACGTACTTGGAAATACATTTGGGGTTTGAATCACAACGCAGAAGGCATGAGGTCAGGGGCCTGGAAGCAGCAATGAGCAACTCGCAGGTGAGAGAATGTGGGGGCGTTTTCTTCCTTTCCACGAGCTCAGGCCTGAGCTACCCTCTTGGTTTCCTTTCCCAGCCACCCAGAGTGGGCAGGTGCGAGAGGAGAGCCAGTTTCCAGACCAGACCACCATCTTTACCCAGACACTTGCACCCACCCAGAAGAGTCCCACTAGAGGCGGACCCAGGAACCACTCAGCACGATGACAAATGGCCAGAGACCCCTCACCGCCCTCCGCCGACGTGACAGGGTCCTCTATGGCTCACTGCCTGGTCAGACGGGGTCTCATCTCCACTCACTATGGCTCAGGCATTGGCCAATCCATCAAAATAGAATTTTCCTGAAAATGATCCTATCTTTCAGCACTTAATAATGGCCTTTCAGGCCGGGCGCGGTGGCTCAAGCCTGTAATCCCAGCACTTTGGGAGGCCAAGACGGGCAGATCACGAGGTCAGGAGATCGAGACCATCCTGGCTAACACGGTGAAACCTTGTCTCTACCAAAAAAAAAATACAAAAATTAGCCAGGCGTGGTGGCGGGCGCCTGTAGTCCCAGCTACTCGGGAGGCTGAGGCAGGAGAATGGCGTGAACCCAGGAGGCGGAGCTTGCAGTGAGCCGAGATCGCGCCACTGCACTCCAGCTTGGGCGACAGAGCAAGACTCCGTCTCAAAAAAAAATAATAATGGCCTTTCAACAGTTCCCGAGAAGATCATCAGCAAGGCTGACGTAGTAAGTCACTTTTCAACTTCTTGAATTGAGAACGTGGTATATTTTTACCTATTTTCTACCTAGTGACACACAAAACCCCAAATACGTGTTTGCCTGAGACTGAAATACTCATGAGCACCTGAAACAGAACTCAGTGCAAAGGGGGTTCCATTTCAACCCCTGAGAGCCAGGGGCTGCCAAAGCTTGATCCTGTCTGGGCCTCACCTGTGTGCCCCCGGCCTTCACTTTGACTTTGCCCCTGGGCTTAGTCCACCTTGGGAAAGTCCTGAGATGTCCCTGAGAAACCAGTCCAGGAGCTGATGGCATCTGGCTCAGACCAGCTACTCAAATGCATTCTAGTAAGCTTGGGACATGATGCCCCCAGGACCCCAGCATCCTGCCCCTGTGCAAACCTCCCCTCCCAGGCCTCTTCTCTACATCACTGTGTTTGCAGGTGGCTCAGCAAATGCTAGCCTTGGAGTAAATGTCACAGGGCAGAGCCTTCCTGGGCCCCCTCCCTGGGTTTAGCCCTGGGCACACACTCCCCCCATCTCTCCAGGCTGTGGGGCTCTCCAGAGAGCAGAAACAAGCAGACAAAGGCAACAGCCCCAGGTTAGAGCGCCTCTGCCCCCTCTGCCTACGCTGCCAGATTTTGTTTAAAAATAATATCCCCATCCCATTTCAATTTCAGGGGAGAAGGGCAGGGCTGCAGAAGAGCTGTCTCCAAATCCTCTGTTTGATTAAAGAGCATTACGGAGGCTGCGCTGGAAACCAGAGATACTCTGGGGGTGGGGGTGGCG